GGTAGTAGGGATGCGCGGGTGGCGGGAAACTTAAATATGATTTGGTGGCTGGGAATTCGCGAATGTGTGAAGCCCATGAAAGTTGAAAATGCGAATGTTGAGGGAGACCTGTATTAGATGTGTTTAAAGACCTGGAAGCTGTTGTACATTTGAGTAGTGGAATCAGAGAACATTGAGGAAAGGCCAGAATAATGAGTCATGCAAGAATAGGGATAGTCAGCAGCTTGTCAGATATAGCTAGAGTTTCTCTATATGAAATGCCTTCTTAAATAGTATATTACACATTCACACTTAAATTTTAGGCACTGGCAGCAATATGAGGAGTTATTTTCTGCTCAGTTGAGGCAGTGAGTAGAGGACTGACAGGAAGGGTTGTTATGAACTGTAGAGCCATAGATGGGGCATTGACAGTTGAACAGTAGTACTTCACCAGATGTCAAACCACCAACAGTGTTGGCACTGCTACAGAGAGGGTAACAACTATGACACCATCAGCAGCTGATTTGATAAAAATTGTGGTTGTATTCGTGGAAAAATGATGAACTGATTGGATCATTCACAACTACACAGTGGAGAGTAAACAAGTGATAGGAGGGGAGAGGTATTGAGGGATGGACATTAACAGGAAGGATGGGGAGTCACAGTTGATGATGCTAAGAAATCATAAAGTGAATCTGCAGTAAAGGTGAAACCATTTACCCTTAAATGGTTTGAACATATATATACATTCACCTGCGCAGCGCCCTGAATATTTTGAGAGAAAAAAAAATCGTTTTGTTTTTTATAGGAAAAAAAGAGCATGTGGTACCCAGGCATCCCCAATTTTTTTTATATGGCGCACACTGAGTGCACACACCCATTCTCTCATGTCTAGGCGACTCAGGCCTATCATGCCAATGTTGAATGAATGACAAATGAAACATATATATACGTTTGGGGCCCTACACAAGAGAACGTATATATACATTTGGACCGTTTAAGGGTTAAAATAAGGGCTAACTAAATAGGTGTATCAGCCATTGAAAATTGGCGTGTTCTCTGATGACCAGGACAATCAAGAGATGTTGGACAGTCTCGGGATGATATGGTAATTAATCTTTGCAGATTAGCACTGGGTGCCCTCAATGTAGATCTATGTTTATGCGCGTAGTGCTCTGACCCTGATTTTCCCCATTTGAAAGCATGTAAAAAAAAACGTAGATCTACGTTTGGGGCGCTACGTTAGTGAATGTAGATCTACGTTTGCATAGTTTAGGGGTTAACAACAGCCAGCAGCAGTGGAGGGAGGACTGCCAAAAGCCAAATGCAGTAAAGTTGTTGGTCACTACTGAGGACCTCATACCATTCAAACAAAAAAATAATCCCACAACAAAATATTGATATGGTTGTATTAGAGTGGGATCTTCAGTGAATTTGAGGAGACACACAAAAGGAGGGAGAGTTGACAGAAAGATTGAATCGACCAGGGTATTTTGGTTTTTCAGGGATAGTTGTTAAGGTCTACTGGAATGGGGTCTCTCGGAATGAATATGAGGGATCATGAACCAGGATATAAAATAAGGAAAGACAATATATACACTAATAGCTCCTAGGAAAATGGAGAAGTATAAGCAAGTAACAACCAGAATGCTGGAAAACAGCCCAGAACCCCCCAAAAATTTTTTCCTGGTGTGCTCGTCTGACCTTAGCCAAAGACAGTGCTCTTTCAGAAATAAGTCCAAGTGCCATTCTACTCATCAGATGCTATACAATCACAATTTGCAGAAGCTCATAATCTACAAAGTAGGCTATGAACTAAAACCCACAAACTGCAAATCTAGGACAAACTCAACTTAAAAGTGAGCAAAACCAAGGCGTATACTGGTCTCAATGAATGGTAAACATATGGGGTAATGTTTGGTTAATTAAAATTAAAATTCCCTTTCTTTTTTTCAACATGTCGGTCATCTCTCACTGAGGCAGGGTGACCCAAAAAAAGAAAGAAACACTTTCACCATCATTCAACACTTTAATGATCATTCACATATAATCACTGTCTTTGTAGAGGCGCCCAGATTATGACAGTCTGGATATGTCACTCCAAACAGTCAATATCCCAAACCCCTCCTTTGAAGTGCAGGACTCAAGTCTGGCTAACCAGTTTCCCATAATCCCTTCACAAAATATTACCCTGCTCACACTCCAACAGCTTGTCAGGTCCCAAAAACCGTTCATTTCCATTCACTCCTATCTAACACGCTCACACATGCCTGCTGCATGTCCAGGCCCCTTTAACACAAAGCCTCTTTTAATGCCGCCCTCCATCCTTTCCTAGGATGACCCCTACCCCTCCCCTCCACTACAGATTTATACACCTCCAAGTTATCCTATTTTGCTTCATCCTCTCTAAATGACCAAACCACCTCAACAACCCCTCTTCAGCCCTCTGAATAATACTTTTAGTAACTCCACACCTCCTCCTAATTTCTGCACTACAAATTCTCTGCATAATATTTACACCACACATTGCCCTTAGACACAACATCTCCACTGCCTCCAGCCTCCTCCTCGCTGCAGCTTTACAACCCATGCTTCACGCCCACATGAGAGTGTTGGTACCACTATACTCTCGTACGTTCCCTCTTCACCTCCATGGATAATGTTTTTTATCTCCACAGATACCTCAATGCACCACTCACCTTTTTTCCTACAGTCCTATGGTTCACCTCCTTCATAAACCCATCTGCTGACAAATCTACTCCCAAATATCTGAGCTCATTCACTTCTTCCATGCTCCCTCCCTCCAATGTGATATCAAATTTTTTTTTACCCAACTTGTTTGATACCTTCATCACCTTACACTTATCTTTGATCACTTTCAATTTTCTTCCTTTATACACCCTCCCAAACTCAACCTTTGCAACTTCTCTTTATATCCACGTAATATGTTGTTTGTACAAAAATAAATGACAATATTGCACATGGAAAGCCCTTGATTGTACAGAACATTTTGGGCAATATTAACTGCTTTGCTGTGGCCTATCAGGATAAAAAAAGAAATCCTGTTTGGCAAGATTTTTATTTTTTTTCCTTGCAGAGTAAAAGGAGTGCATTTTTATGAATTGAATAAGATTACAATGAGTGGGATCTGATAAATCTTATGGTTTTATGGTTTGTTAAAGTTAGCAAAAAAAAAAAAATCACATGTTGGCAACAGCAGCATAAATTCACCAGCGATATCTACATCTAACAATTTATTGATGCCAAATTATGCAGTTTTTAATTTTTTTTTTTTATGTTTATCACTATATGCACTAGTTTCTTATGATATTAGATGTGTTTCAAAATGTTTTAGCACTTCACACATGGGAAAATTCTCAGCTTGACATAGTTTCACTTGGAGTATGCAGCCTCTTCTCACTTAGTGATGTACGTACTTGTTTACTGACGCCTCAGACTTACGACGGGTTCTCTAACCAGTATTCATAACTAAATGATGTATATAGGAGCTGATTTCCTCTATTCCGTTTATTTCAATATACAGTACACTACTGTACAAACATTTAAAAATATACCAGAAATGTTATAAATGGTGCATAGGTGACATTAAAACAATATCTGAGATGGTTGACACAAACTCACTACCATTATAGTATGCTCCTCACTTAGCAACAAATTCGTTTAATGACGTGGTCTCAGGAACGGAATTAAATCGTTAAGTGAGGTTAATTACTACTTTGATCTTCTAGTACTATGGACAAGGAATAATTATAACATTACAGTTGTTTCAAGGTAAATACTCCTTAGAACATGGAAATAAGTTATTGATTGACTATATTGGCTTATCATAGGTTAATTATTATTGTTGTACAGTACATTGAGGTTTGAGGTAATATCCTAGGTTATATAAACATTCTGTTTGTCCATAGCACCTGTGTGCCTTCCAGACTACTGTAAAACATTTATTTACAGCAAAAGTCTATGATATTACAATTATTTCAAGGTGTTATATTCATCAAAACAAGGAAATAAGTTGCAGTGTTTGACTTTATTGGGTTATCTTGGGTTAAATCTGCTTAGTATTGTTTGTGACTGAATTCTAATGTTAGTAATATGAACTTGTAATAAATTTGGAATGAATAAGTCATCTTTGTGCCACTTCCACATCTTGTTTGCTGATAAGGAAGCTGGTAGTGGAACAACAGCTCTTTGATTTCATTGTTTACTTATGAGCTAGTTAGGCGTACTAGTACATCAGACACAAAGTCATCATCTGTGTGGTTAACCATGATGCACTGTGTGGACCAATCTGGCCTTAGATTTTTTCAGTGGTGTGAAGACATTGTAGAAGATTCAAAGAGTTGTGCTGAGGTCAAAAATATTGAGAGTGCAAAATATTTTGCTTTCTAGTACATTGGACACATAATTGGATACAGTTAAGGGGTTAAACCTAATTTATGACTAAAAGGACAATAAATGTTGTTACAAATACAGTATGTATATGTTAATGCTTCAAAGACCATGACCACTTTGGTAAGGGAAGTCTTCAAGTACTACCTGAGGGATCATCAAACACCATAATCCCACCAGAGAAGAGAAATGGCTTCAGAGAGTATTTAGTATAGAAACTAGCAAATTTGTATGATAATTTAGTAGCTGCATACAGTATTATACATGTATTGAGGATGCACCTTATTAATTTTATGATAATGGTTGTACAAATGAAAATATGAAATTGAGATTTGCAGGTGAAACAATGAAGGTACAGTAGATTAATGTATGAAAGTTGCTTAAACTGTTGCTTATTGATAAAACAGTGCTGTAGTATGATGAAATGAATGAAGACATACATTTTTTAAAAAAATTAATATTTTAAATTATTCTTTAGTTGGAACTAAATATTGATTTACTGTATGATTTTAGTAATAATTATTTGAATATGTACAAGTAAAATCAAGCATGTACAAGCATAATTAAGCATGGACAAGTATAATCACAATAAACAAATGTTCTTTCAGCAGGTTAAGAGTCCTGCACGACGGAAGAAGAGACACCCATCAGGGAAATCAAAGATCGCACCATTCCTACCAGAACGCCAGTTGTGGCGATGGTATGGAAAAGGCTTTAAAAGACCTGGAGCAAAGGGCAAAGGCAAGAAAGAATACTTCAAAGCTATTATGAGAGGAAAAGAAATGATAAAAGTATGTATTGTATGATTGTTTTATTGTTTTTTATCACAGGTGTATAAATAATTTATATAATTATGTCATGGGTGGCATGCAGAACTTAGGTTGCAGAGTAAATCTTTTGTATTCTCCACTTATTGGAAGTCATTCAAAACTCTAAAAGTAATAACAATTTCCTGGTGTGTTATAAATCTTTCTTATGTCACTTTGTAATTTTAATTACAAAATTTCATTTAGTGATACAGTAGTATAATCTTATGAAATGTGGGCATGAAAATTTTTTGCAGTTGCACATTAAATAGGTTAATATTTTTTTTTATCCCTAGGTTGAAGATTGTGCTGTGTTTCTTTCTGCTGGACAGCCAGACCAACCTTACATAGGCAGGATTGAACACATGTGGGAGTCTTGGGGAGGAAATATGGTGGTCAAGGTTAAGTGGTTTTACCACCCACAGGAGACGAAAGGGTTAGGACGAAGATTAACTGAGCCAAGGGTATGTTTGCTTTTCTAACACCTTATACGTAATTGAGTAGACATATTTTCTTGTTTTATGTGCCATATTAATTTCCAGATGAAATCTTGAGAATTTGTCTTTGTATTGACTTGAAATATGTCCTGAGCTCTTCTCTACAAGTATTGTCTTCATATTGTACTTTAAGTTCTCTCTTTGTCCTCACACAGTAGTATATGTGTGAAGTTTTCTATCTGTGTATTGTCCTCACACAGTAGTACCTGAAACCTTCTCTATTGACCTTCACAACAGTACATGAAGTTTTCTCAATAATGTGTATTATCCTCACACATTAGTACCTGAAATTTTTTATGTATTGACCTCACATAATAGTACCTGAGGTATTCTCTCTTTTGTCCTCACAAAGTAGTAACTGAAATTTCCTCTATATTGTCTTCACACAGCAGTACCTGAGGGTATTTTCTATATTGACCTCTCACAGCAGTACCTTGATTTAACAGACAACAGTTTAATGGATTTGGGATTTAGTGGACAAAATCTGTGGCCGAACAGTGTCTAGAACTGGCAGTACATTAAATCCGGGATAGTCCATTATTGTTATGGTTTGCTGGGTAAATTGATTTTGAATTTAATAAAGTTTTTAAAGTCCAAAATTGTCTGTTATTATTACAATCTTAAACAAATAATCTTATCATTCAGGTTTTACAAACCCAGCTTTAACAGACAAATATAATCCATTAAAGCGAAGTTTCACTGTTTATGAAGTTTACATTTACCTAGAAATATGAGTTGTGATGTTCAGTGCACACAATAAAATACTGTAATAATATAATGGCTCCCAACTTATGAATGAGTTGTGTTTTTAGTGTTTCAACTTACAACATTTTGCATTCTTAGTGTTTCAGTTTATGTATGAGTTGCATTCACTTACAAATAAGTCACTTGTAATCTCAAACCTATTCTTCCATAAAAAATAATAGTAAATAAAGGATGGTGATGTATCGTGTACAGTTTTTGCAACTGCAAATCGGCTTTCATAAAATAATTATTTTCTCAATTTTATGTCTTTTGAACATTATTTGTAAGGTTGGATCATTGTTGCTGAGTGCTTGTAAGTTGGGGACCCCCCTGTGTTTCTTGCATATCATTTATGTATTTTCTTCTTTTTTTCAGGGTGCTTTATTTCAGTCTCCTCATACTGATGAAAATGATGTACAGACCATCAGCCATAAGTGTGATGTCATAGCTCTTTCTGAATATCGTGTAAGACGTGGGGAACTAGAGAAAAAATATGGACCTAACTATGAAAATTGTGATGTGTATTATTTGGCAGGTTCCTATGATCCAACGAGTGGACATATAACTATGGAGCCTGGTGTGTCGTGAGAGGTTACAGGCTTTGATTATGGATTGTTCTGATCCATTAAGTTTTAGGATATCAGTAAAGGTCTATTGTAAAGTGAATATGGAGTTTAAGCTTAAGTTATTTGATCATTATTGTAGAAAATATGCTCCTCTTCATTTTCTCAAGATAAATGAGCTTTGTAAAGGTAATATTTTATAAGCTTATTGTCTATGGCCATGTAATTTTTCATGAAGGATATAGCCTGGAAAAAATAAGCCTTAAACATTACTCTCAAGATGTATAGCATCTTTGAGGTAAGAAAATAATTGGTAAGGTGTGTGGAGTGATGAGCTTATGGTTTAGGTTTATCAGAAGAATTTATTTTTATTGAGTCAGTGATAAGCAATTAAAACACATAAGTAGAAAGGGAAAGAAATTTGTGTGCAAAAAAGTAAACATATATATACAAATGGTACAGTAGCTTGCATTATTGTGTAAGTGTTTAATGATAGGCAGTTAATGTCTATATTAGATACTTTTAAACAGTTATAATGTTTTACTGTGAACAAAAATGACATATATTTATAAAGTATTTAATATATCATACTTTGAGTCTAAAGTATGGCGCAACCCTTATGCTTAAATGTGTGTTTAAAAGAGTGTGATAACAGTGATAATTGATTTAGAAAAAGTCTAGGCCCTCTTTTAAGTCTCTTGAGTGGAAGACAGTATTGTAGATTTATTGTCAGGGTATTTTAATTCCCTGCAATTATAATTTCAGCTATTAGACAGTGCATTGCTTGTGGACAATCACTTAAAAGCTGCAAAATCATGTAGGGAATAACTCTGCTTCTGTTATTACTTTTGGAGTGTGAAAGATCAGAGGTGTCCTTCCAACTACCAAAATTATGCCTTTTTCTCACAACACCTTTTAGATTTTAAGGATTTTTATCATATACATGAGTACCTGCAATATTTTATATAGATATTTTATTGTGTGGATCATAATATCTAAGTACATAGATATATATGGTTTGACTATAATTAGAACCACTGCTAGTGTCAAAAGCTTATTTTCTGGTGATGCAATAATTTCTTGCATGCCACTATCAGTGATAATGACCAAGGGCAAGTGTTTTGTCAAGTAGATGTAAGGAGAGTCTTCAAGGTTCTATACATCTGTCTAAACCTTTCTTTGCCTAATTTAAATTGGTTTATTAATGCATTTCAGTGATTTAATGTTAATTGCATGTTGATTTTATTAAATTGATCATTACGTGTTATAGATACTTATTGTTATTTAATATATATTAAGTTGACATTTGTCGTAAATGAAGAGAAAGACTGAATAAGTTGAGTAGATATTATGGTTGTATATTTCAAGTCATGACTAATGTGCAGAAGGCTGTCAGTGAGCTCTGATTTGGATGCTATGTTTCCCCATCAAAAGACATTGACTAATTATTCAATGTTACTATGGATCTCATATGATATATAAAATATATAATGACTGTAGGAAACTAACATCTTCAGATTATTCCATTTTGTGTCCATAAGATACAAATTTTGTAAGAGGATAAGAGCTAAAACAAGTGTTTTGTGGAAGGTTTTGGGATTTTTTTTGGATGGATGTAAGGTGAATTTTGCAGCACATTGGTATGGTATTGCCAGTGGATGTAACTCGAATGGTAGTCTTGTGTGTTGACTGAAAAGTGAGCACACCATTCATAATGTCACTTACTTAGAAAAACTTAGTAAAACCTTTTAAATAATCCCAAAATAAATGTTGTAGCTCTGGTTGTTGAATAAAGTGACAAGTCATGCTGTACTCTTTCAGATTTTGTATCAAAATTGTAGTTTAGAAGACCAAACTTTCACAAAATGACACAAAGTTACCATATAGCATATTAGCCTATACAGGTCGACCATCACTAATCCGGCAATCATTTCTGTTCCATCAGTTTTCCCGGCCTAATTTCAATTACCAAATTTTTTAAAATTTTCATATTAACTGATGAAACATTATTTTTGACTAAAATTTCTCATTTTTTTTGACTCGAAATTGTCGAGGGTTTGTAAATGCACAGAGAAAGCCGGGAGAAAAAGCGGATGAAAATGGGGAAGATGTAACAGAAAGTCTCTGTAAGGGTTTTAATTAAGTGTTTTCTAAACAAACCACTATTAACCCGGGCAAACTCACTAACCCGGGCACTACAGGTCCCAATGAGCTGGATTAGTGAGGGCCCCGACCTGTATTAACAGAGGATTTAGAAAAAAAATTTTTTTTATATTATTGCACAGAAATTTTTAAGTTGCTCTAACCAAGGATTTTTTTTTTTAAATATAATTCAAAAAACAACGTTGACTAATATGTTTGTCTAAGTAATTACCATCTGTACTAGATTGGATTATTTCAGTAAAAGGGGTTTGCCCTGTGTTAGGGTGGATATATATGCAAAGTATTTTTAGCGAACTACACATAGAATTTTTTGCCACAAAAAACCCTATATATTATATTTTATACAGTATTTATATATGTGTGTGAAAAATTACATATATATATAAATATTTAATATATATATAATATAAATAATATAATATTATTATATTTTTTTTTTTTTTTTCAAAAAAGTCGGCCGCCCCCCACCGGGGCAGGGTGACCCAAAAAAAAAAAAAAAAACCCCCAAAAAAAACACTTCCATCATCTTTCAAACTTTTCACCCACCACACTTTACACTGCTTTTGCGGGGTCTCAAATACAACAGTTTAGAAGCAAAAATTTAGAGATCCCCAAAACATACCCCTCCAAACTCCCAAATACCCCAAAAACCCCCCTTTTTAAAGTGCAGGCATTGTCTTCCATTTCCAGGACTCAAGTCCGATTTAATGAAAATAACCGGTTTTCCCTGAATCCTTCACTAAATATTCCCCTGCTCACACCCCAAACAGATCGTCAGGTCCCAATTTCATTCCTCCATTCACTCCACTAACACGCTCAGCACGCTTGTGGAATTCCAAGCCCTCACCCAAAAAACCCCCTTTTCCCCCCTTTTTCCCAAAACCCTTTCGGGGACACCCCTACCCCTTTTTCCTTCCCTATGTTTTTATATGTTTTTCCATTCATTCTACTTGTCATTCTCTCAAAAATGATAAACCACTAACAACCCCTCTTCTCCCCTCTGCTAATGCTTTTATTAATCCACCCCTTTCTCCTAATTTTTCCACACTCCGAATTTTCTGCAAATTTTTACACCACCATTCCCCTTAGACAGACATCTCCACTGCCTCCCCTTTCCCCCTGCTGCATTTCCCACCCAAGTTCACATAAAATTAAGATTTTGGTACTACATACTTTCTACATTCCTTTTTGCCTCCTAGAAACGTTTTTTGACTCCACATATCCCCTAAACCACCACTTCCTTTTTTCCCCTCATAAATTTTATCTTTAAACCCTATCCTTCATAAATCCATCCGCCGACACTCAACCCCCAATATCTAAAAAACATTCATTTCTTCCATACCCTCCTCCCCAAATTTTTATATCCAATTTTTCTTTATCAAAACATTTGAACCCTCATCCCCTTTACTCTTTTCTATTTTCATTCAATTTTTACCTTTACACACATTCTCAAACCTTTCCACTAAACCTTTTTTAATTTTTCTTAGAATCTCCCATAACACAGTACACAGCAAAAAGTACTGTGTCAATTCCCTTTTTAATTTTATTCCCCCTAATTTAATCCCACCCCCCCTCCCGAACACCCTACATTACTTCTTTACAAAACCCCCCTATAAATATATTAAACAAAAAGGTGACATTTCACATCCCCGTCTAAAACCTACTTTTACCGGAAGTTTCTTCCCCCCCTTTACCACCCAACCTAGCCTCACTATCCTCATAAAAGCTCTTTACAGCTTTAGTAAATTACCACCCATTCCATATACTTGCAACATCTGCCACATTCCCCTCTATCCACTCTATCATATGCCTTTTCTAAAAACCCTAAAAAAATAAAAACTTCCCTACCTTTTTCTAAATACTGTTTACATATATGTTTCAATGTAACACTTTTTCTACACATCCCCCACCCCCTCTGAACCCCTTGCTCCCGCAAATTTTACTTCGTCTTACCTCTAACTTTCAGTTTTAACCCTAACCCATACTTTTCCCGGTATACTCAGTAAAAAATTTTTCCTCTATAATTTTTCAATCCTTTTGTCCCCTTTTCCCCTTTATAAAAGGGCCATACTGCTCTCCCCCCCAATCCCTAGGTACCTTCCCTCTTCATACATTTTTTAAACAAAAGTACCAAACCCCTAACACAATCCCCCTCTTTTAACATTTCTGTCATGTCCCTCAAATTTTTCCCGCTGCTTTACCCCCTTTTTATTCTACGTATGCCCACGTACCCCCACCACACTTACATTCTGTTCTTCTTCCCTCCAAAAGATGGATACCTCCCTGGCCCGGCATAAATTTCCGCCTCCCTTTCTTCCTTAACATTTAAAAGTTTCAAAAATCTCGCCACTACCTAATACCTCCCTCCCCCATCTACCAACTCCCCTATCTTTTTTTAACTGCAAATCCATACTTTCCCTAGGTTTCTTAATTGTTTAACTCACTCCAAAATTTTTCTTTTTTTCATAAAAATTTTTTGACAGTCCTCCCCACTCTTTCATTTCTCTCCTTTTGACTCTCTCCCCCCACTCCTTCACCTTTCTTTACTCCCATATACTCTGCTCTTTTATAAACTTCGCTTTTTAAAAACCCTTTGAAGCTACCTTTTTCTCTTTTTTCCCCCCTTTACTTCATCATTCCCCCAATCACTTCTCTTTCCTCCTGCCCCCACCCTCCCCATAACCCCAAACTTCTCCCCCCATTCTAATACGCTTTTTAAAAAAAATTCCAACCCTCTTCAACCCCCCCCCTACTCATCTTTTTCACACCCACCCTTTTTGCCAATTTCCATATCTCCCCAACTTCCCCTACCTTATTTATAACTTTCACCTCCCTTTACTTGTTGTTGCACCTTCCTCTTTTTCCCCCTTACCCCTTTCTCTAACTTAGCTAAACTAAAAATGACTGATATATCTTGCCCCTCTATAAACATGTACACCTGGAGCCTCCCCATCAACCTTTTATCCACCAATACTAATCTAACAAATCTTTCATTACGGCTACATCTACCTTGTATATTTATTTCCCCTTTTTTTCATAAAAATGTATTACTTATTCCCAAAATTTTCTTTCTACACAAGTAAATTTAAAGGCTCCCCATTTACATTTACCCCTGGCCCCCCAATTTTTACCTACTACTCCCTCCATAACATTTTTCCCCATTTAGCATTAAACCCCCAACCACCTTTACTCTCACAACTTGATTCAAAACTCCCCACGCATTCACTCAACTTTTCCCCAGAATCTCTCTCTCTCCTCTACACTTCTCTCTTCTCCGGTCATACAGCTTACAAAACCCATTTTTTCACACCCAATCTTATTTTACTCCACATAACCCTTGAATTTTTGCATTTGTAGTCCCTTTTTCCTGCCATGCTTATCCTTCAACATTATTGCTACTCCCTTTTTAGCCTAACCTATTTGAAACCCTGACCAATCCCATTTATTCCTCTCCATTAAACTCTCCCACCCCCCCTTTACTTTTTTTACTTTAAAACCGGAAAATCCAGTTTCTTCTCATTCATAACATCCCCAATATCTCTTTCTTATCATTGCACAACATCCACGCACATTCAAACTTTCCCCCTTTGACAATTTTCTTCTTCTTATTCTTTTTAGTAATCTTACAGGAAAAAGGGGGTTTCTAGCCCCTTGTTCCCGGCATTTTAGTTTTCTTTTTTTCAACAGCATGGGTTACGGGGGAAAGATTCTTGTTTCCCCTTCCCCTGGGTATAAAAGGGAAAAGTAATAAACCAAGAACTATTAAGATAAAATCAAAGAAAACTCAGATGATGTGTATAAATAAAAATGTACATGTTGGCAGTTGACCCAGTGCAAGTAGAAGTAGCAAGACAAAACCTGTAATCTTGCAATTTAGAGACAGACAAAAGACACCCGCAATCCACCATCATGTAAAACAATTAAGGGTTTTGTTTTACTTCACTTGGGAGGACGGTAGTACCTCCCGGATGGTCTGTCTACCAACCCCTACTATAAACTATATTAAATTTCTTCTTTTTTTCAACACACCGGGCCGTATCCCCCGGGCGGTGGCCCAAAAGGAAAAAAGAAAGTTTCTCCTTTTACATTTAGTAATTATACAGGGGAAGGGGTTCTAGCCCCCTTTCCCCGGGATTTTAGTTGCCCCTTAAAACACGCATGGCTTAGGAGAAGAATTCTAGTCCACTTCCCATGGGGATAAGAGGAAATAAACAAAAAACAAGAAATAGAAAGAAAATAAAGAAAACCCAGAGGGGGTGTTATATATGCTTGTACATTAGGGATTGACCTAAGTGTAAGTAAAGTAGCCAGAAATACCTGAAAACTTGCATGTTTAGAGCAAAAAAAGAAAAACCAGCACCCACCACGTGTAAAACAATTCAGGCTTTCGTTTTACACTCACTTGCAGGACGGGTACCTCCCTGGGGGGTTGCTGTCTACCAAACCCACTACCTATAATAAATATCTTCTTTTTCAAACACCACCGTACCCACCAGGTGGGGTGGGCCCCAAAAGGGGAAAAAAAAAGTTTCTCCTTTTATATTTTTAATATACAGGAAGGGGGTTTCTACCCCCCTTTCTCCTGGATTTTAGTCGCCCTTACAAACCAACTTACGAGGAAGAATTCTGTTCCACTTCCCCATGGAGATAAGGAAATAAACAAGAAAAAGCTATAAGAAAATAGAAGAAAACCCCCGGGGGGGTGAACATATGCTTGTACATGTATGTGTGTGTACCTAAGTGTAAGCAGCAGAACAAGACTAC